TATCTGCCCCCATTTCACTGATTAGTGACTTTGGGTCTTTTTAAGGTAGGGTGATCAGAGCCATATTTAATATTCATGTATTAAATGTGTTACACCACACATTTGTGTAATGAAATGACATTATTAGAAGTTTTCTCTTCCTTGTCCCCTTTCTTGTCCTGCCTATCCCACATGTATAATTTGCCTTTTTGAATTTTATATTATAATTATTTAGTGTTCAGTTCTTTCTCCAGGAGGTTGAGATGGGGAAGGATAAAAAAAAGTCATGATAGTGGCTGCATAATCGAAGCCCTGCCCTTTTGAAAGGGCTTGCAATACTCACACATGTACAAAAGGACAGAACTTCAATTATGTTTTTGCAATCCCCATCTTCACATTCTTTACTCTCCCCTGCAGATGTCCCTATAGATGTTCCTTATTGGGGAGGCTCACACAGCATCAAATGCTACAGGCACTCATTAATATCTACAGTGAAGTTTTGTTGGCTTCTATACAAGCTAGAATTCTACTAGTTCTGGGTCCGGCCTCCTATGGAAGACATCTTTGGTATGGACGGTTTACTGTAGCAGGCTCTGGCATTTAATGCACAGGAAGACCCAACAGTTAATCTTCTTAAATGTTATTGGTGAGAGGGGGTGGAACAATCCAGAGGGTTCACAAGTTGAGGGTTCCAGATGAGAAATGCATAAAGGAGGGTTGTTGTCTTCCTTTAGGATTAACTCTGAGCGAATCATCTCCTTTCTGCTTTGTTCCAGAAAGATGGCCTATCTCTACGTTTTATCAATTTGTTCTAATCTGGATGGGAATTTAGCCATTTTATTTTCCACTAGCTGGACGCCTGTGCTTCGCTATGAAACTAAGTGATTGGGTGTGATAAATTGACACTTAAAGCCTGAAACTGAATGTAGAATGTGTAACTCCGTAACACCAGAGCGTGTTAATATAAGGCAACTGGCAGTTGGGACAGAGGGGGAGGGGGGAGTAGAATGTCCCAGTCTGCAGGCCAGATGAGTCACGTGCTGGCCATGCCCAGTTTAGCAAAGGGGTAGCATCAGAGCATGTTAATATAAGGCAACTGGCAGTTGGGACAGAGGGGAGGGGGAGTAGAATGTCCCAGTCTGCAGGCCGGATGAGTCACGTGCTAGCCATGCCCAGTTTAGCAAAGGGGTAGCATTAGAACGTGTTAATATAAGGCAACTGGCAGTTGGGACAGAGTTCTTTTCAGGTGGGGAGGGGGAGTAGAATGTCTAGCTCCTTAGCATCAGAGCATGTTAATATAATACTGTATATGAAATACTAATGATCTGATGGTCATCTCGAAAAATCCTTTCTTAGTGAGCACCTAGAAGCCAAAAGGAACATACATGGAAAATTTCAAGTTTGTAGGCTTTACGGTTCTGGAGATTTTGTGATTATGGCATGAGTGGTTTTCGCTTTTATATATATAGATTCCAATATCCCTTCAAACCTTTTGGCTGAATGGCCAATAGTATGCCATGTGCCCCAATTTCTCTTTGAAAGCAAATATCCATGAAAATGCCAGGATCTTAATCGATTTAATTTTTAATCGATTTTAACTTTTGTGTACAAATGTTTTATTTTGGCTGTTCACCGCCCTGAGTCCAAAAGGAGAAGGGCGGTATAGAAATCTGAAAAAAAATAATAATAATAAAGTCATTCTTGCTGGCTTTTCCACAAAGCGCAGTTTAAAAACTGCTCTCCCGTCTTTTTTTTTTTTTTTGCTCTTAAATGATCCTTGAGGAGTTGCTGAAAAATTGGAAATGCATAAATGAAAAAGAGAAAATATGGTGTAAGGCAATGCGCAGTTCTAGGAAATCTGCATATGCAATGTATAGCTTCAAATTTAATTAACACAATTTATAGCTACTCCCCATAGATGGAAAGTACATGCCCAGGTGACCACTTGATCTCCTATAATCTGTTGTCCAAGTGTTAAGTGTTGACAGACAATTTCAAGGTTCCTGAGAGTTGGACTGTGCAGTCCTTTCAATAAAATACACATTCTAAGAGAGGATTGTCCTGTGTTCAATCTGAAATGTGCAACTCCTTCCTTTGAAACAGGCCTGCTTCACCCAACAACTTTCCTTACTGCATAAATAGTTCCCAACTTTCCATTTCTGTGTCCACATATTCAGATCCCTCAACTATAACTGCCTCTACCCAAGAAAGAAATGTCTGATTTTTTTTTTTAAAAAAAACGTCCTCCAAATTGGCTTAAAAATTTTAATTAGGGATATATTCTCTGAAGTGTCAAAATCCAAATGATACCTGGATGAGGACAAAGATCTCCCTTTGTACCATCTGGTTGTTATCTGGAGTTTCGAACTCTACTATAAGGAAGGCCATATGGGACATGGTGGCTCAGGGGCTAAGACGCTGAGCTTGTCGATCAAAAAGTTGGCAGTTCAGCGGTTCGAATCCCTAGTGCCGCGTAATGGGGTGAGCCCCCATTACTTGTCCTAGCTTCTGCCAACCTAGCAGTTTGAAAGCATGTAAAAAATGCAAGTAGAAAAATAGGGACCACCTTTGGTGGGAAGGTAACAGCGTTCCGTGCGCCTTTGGCGTTTAGTCATGCCGGCCACATGACCACGGAGACGTCTTCGGACAGCGCTGGCTTTTCAGCTTTGAAACGGAGATGAGCACCGCCCCCTAGAGTCGGGCACAACTAGCACATACAGTATGTGCAAGGGGAACCTTTACCTTTTATAAGGAAGGCCATAGGGAGTGGTTTTACAATAAGCATGAAGCAAGAAACTCAAGAATTGGTACTTCTTATATTTCTTTTTTCAACTGCTTGGAAGCTCAACTATATTTTTCTTAGTGAAATGTTTGGAAATTAAGAATACCATGCCCCAAATTAGTATTATTTTCAACTCTATTTGCCAATCAAAGACGCAAAAGTCATTTTTGATTTTATATATACATAAAGATGAAGAAAAGGGACTTCTTTTTCTTCCCACATTGTGTTAAACCTTCCAGTAGAAGGCTGCCATTTTGACAGTACAATTCTGCATTTCTCTTCAGAGATACTGAATGGGGTATCCTCCTAGATTGAATACAAGATTGCAGACTTAATCTGGCCCTCAATCCTCTATGCATTTATACAAATTAGGTTTGGTCCTTTCTCCAAACATTCTTTTTGGACTGTGGCCCCTGGCATGACCTTCAAAGGCCAACAATCATGCTTGCCAGGGAGAAAGTTCACAACTCTGATCTAGAGAAATAATATTTTCCTCCTCTTTAGATTGTGAGTGCCAGGAAATTCTACCCAGGCTGGAAAAAAAAAGATGAAACATAATTTCAATCTCAATGTGTAGTCAGGTTTAAGATCCTTTATTAGGGATTGCCTTGTGTTGATAAACATGGTGAAATATACTTATTTTTCCTCTTCTTATTGCCTTCACAGATAGTTGGCTGGGGAACCATATTTTGGGTGATTTGATCTCTTCTGGACAAGGGAGGGCAGGGGAACCTCTGCAGAATTGTTGTTGTAAGTAATATTTGAGGAATTTGTCGAACAAATTTGCTCGGGTTGTGGCTGGGGCATCCCGCGCAGATGTAATGACATCACTTTTTGTGATATTTTAAGCCTCTGCACATGCGCAGACAACATGGCGCGGCAGATGTGGCCCGTGCACATTTGCGAACCGGTAGGGAAGGTAAGTGAATTTCACCCCTGGAGGAGATGACTTTGCTCATCCTTACACTCTACACTGAGATTCTATATGGATTTTATATGGTTCCAGGTGCAATTCAAGATGCTTGTTGTCACCTTTATAGGACTGCATAACACAGGGACCACCTCTCTTCAACAGTGTCTGCCCATTCCATCAAATCTGACACAGTGGGCATGCTGTGGGTCTCTTTACAACAATGCCACTTAGTAGGATCCAGAGATTTGCCTCTTCTCTCATAGCACCTATCTATGGAACAGCTTCCTTGCTGATGGCTGTTTGGCTCTGTTGGCCTTCTAGAAGTCCTTAAGACCCCGGCTGAAGAGCAGAATATTAGTGGAGCCTGGTATATGTGATTTCTGCTCTTTGAGATGGTTTTGTGAAAAGCCTTGGTTACTGATTTATTTATAGATTTATATTGCCTTATGATTTTCATCCACATGCTTGGCCAGCCCAGAGTTACTTGTTTAAGTATGGGCATGTACATTTTCTATATAAATATTAACAGCAATACTTCTGAATTTTTGAGCCTGAAGGCTGAGCAAAGGATTTTTCTACACATTAGGCTCTGAAAACTTCTGCTACTAGTATCTATGCAAAACAGAGAAACCAAGCAGATACATGAAAATCTATGAGGCACCAGCACCAATATTATGGTGATAGAACCTTATCAGAATATCTACTTCATTCTGTCCATGATTTCTGTCTTTTAGATGCATATTATATATTCTGCAGTGAGCAGACATTACTGGGGGCAGCCAGCAGGTTGATGGGTGAAGGTTCCCTTCTGAGGCTTTTGTCAGACCTTATTTAGAAAAGGGCATTTCCTTTGCTTCGTCTTGATCTCACATCTGTGCCTGCCCAGTTGTGTGACTTAAGGAACTTTGATTTTAAAAGTATTTATGCCAATGATCTTTCTATCAATGGATGTTCAGTAGACCGACGAGAAGCTTGGCTTTGAAGCTGCTCGTTCAGTTGCCTCGGCTCGACTTAACACCACCTGCTGGCCTATTTCACAGCAGCCCCAATTTTGGTGATAGTGGTGGTGGTGGGGAGTCCCTTCAACAATCCAGCCTACCAGCAATTCCACACATGAGTCAGAGAACTGCAGGGAAAAGGGCTCCAGCATTCAATTAGCAGGTAAAATCATTTTGCCCAGCAGTAGCAATCTGAGAGCCTGGGAGAAGGTGATGGAGATCAAACGGTGAAACAGACTTTACTGTTTCACAGAAGCGAAAATAACTTGCATTAAAAAAATAAAATAAAACACCAATCCATGTAACCCCCCCCCCCCCATGTTCTCACCTCTGGTTGCAAAGCTGGCAGGCAAAGCAGTCCAAATGGTAAACGTTATCTCGGGCCCTCATCACCATCTCAAAGGCAGGGATCAGCTTACTGCAGGCAGCACAATTCCCAGTGGTCCCAAAGAGCCTGCCAAGGAAGCACAATCATTAGAAGCCGGTTTAATTAAATGGTGGAAGGACTAATTAAGTGTAATTAGTAGTATCAAATACTGTATTGCACCAATCAAGAGAAGTTGCCATCCCCATTTCTCTGACCAGCCAGCATGTGGGAACGGGGGGCTGATCCTACATGGGGAGAGAACTTCTGAGTCCTTTGAAGTTTTGGAGCTGCCAGCTAATTGACTGTCTAATGAAGAAATCCATTCCACATGCAGACAAAGTGCTATTTTGAGGCTCACAATGCTTCCATCAAAAACAATACCATCTTTTCAGTGCAAATTAACAGTGTCTTAGCAGTACATTTTTAGAGGATTCTAGCAGCCCCTCTGTTTTCTAATTTGCTATTCCTTCATTTTCTACTGATTAGTTAGCTCTCTGGAGAAAATATGCAAGGTTCATTTTGGGGTATACGTATGACTCCTTCAAATCACTTTCCATACATGCAGTTTAGATTAGATTAGATTAGATTAGATTAGATTAACAGAGTTGGAAGGGACCTTGTAGGTCATCTAGTTGAACCCCCTGCCCAAGCAGGAGACCCTACACCATTTCCGACAAATGGGGTCCAATCTCTTCTTGAAAGCCTCCAGTGATAAAGCTTCCACAACTTCTGAAGGCAAGCTGTTCCATTGGTTGATTGTTCTCACCGTAAGAAAATTTCTCCTTATTTCTAGGTTGAATTTCTCCTTGGTCAGTTTCCATCCATTATTCCTTGTCAGGCCTTCAGGTACCTTGGAAAATAGCTTGACTCCTTCCTCTCTATGGCAGCCCCTCAAATATTAGAACACTGCTATCATGTCTCCCCTGGTCCTTCTCTTCACTAGACTAGCCATGCCCAGTTCCTGTAACGGTTCTTCCATGTTTTAGTCTCCAGTCCCCTAATCATCTTGGTTGCTCTTCTCTGCACTTTTTCTACCATCTCAACATCTTTTTTTATAGATATGCTGTGTACCTCAACAAATCAAAATAGATAGGTGTACTTCAATGAATTAACATAGAAATTATATTTGATATTTACAAAGAGATCTTAAATAATTTCCAATGAAGTAGTAGATTGTAGGACAATCCTATTGGAAGAACTATTATGCACAATTATTGGCCATAATACAAATTGATTCCTGGTTCAGTAACACAGTATTAACCTGGAAATGCATCCTTTTCCTTAAAAAATGCTAATAAACCACACATTCTCTCATCTAATTAAAGACTTACCAGAGCCTGGCTGTATTATAATCCTGAAATATTTGGAAAAAAACCCAAAAAGTTACTCAATGCCTCAACATATGCTGGAGAAATCTGTTTGTGCTGACTCCATGTAAACCATGTTCACAATAAGAAGGCTCAATTATTTAATTGATAATTAATAATCCAGTCTGCAAATGCTAAAATATGATGAGTTTCAATTTGGAACTGCCTTTTAGTAAAATCAATGCAAAGAAAACATCTATTTTCTCTCCTTTTTTTTTTCTGCAGAGATTCACCTTTGCATCATTGTATTCCACATGACCTCTTTGGAGATAACTGGTAAAGACAGTGCCTCCCTCAAACTATTTTGATTTACTATCTCTTATTGCATGACATTCAAACTATGGTTTGTTCTTTCAGGACCTCCCAGAAATCCTTGAAGTTCACTACAACATTTCTAATTCAATAGGAAGCACCACAGGTATCACAAGAAATCTAGATAAAGTGGTAAGTATCTACTGATGAGCAGCATGATTGTTTAAACCAGGGGTCTCCAATCTTGCCTATTTTAAGACTTGTGGACTTCAACTCCCAGAATTCCTCAGCCAGCAAAGCTGGTTGAGGAATTCTGGGAATTGAAGTCCACAAATCTTAAAGTTGCCAAGGTTGGAGACCCTTGGTTTAAACTGTGTTCCGCAAACACTAGGGTTCCATAAGAATTTGATGGATTCCACAAGGAACTAAGGGCAAAAGATCAGAAAACTTCATTCAGATGCAGCTGATTTTCTCTCATGATAGCTTTTCCTCTTGATCATTCTAACAATGATCTTCTATCATTGTTTTCATTGCAGAGCCTTATAAAGTTTGAAAACTTTTGCTCTACTGCATCTTAATGGGATGTATGCAGACATTCCTTATCTCCCATTAAAAGAAGCATAAATAATTAGATCTATTAAAATTTCTGCAGCTGTCAATCAAGGTAGCCAATATTGGCCATGTAGTAAGATTAATTTTAAGTTTTACATCAACAATACAGTACATTCATATGACATATTGCTTTACTGAAAAGATAATGGACAGATTGGGGCCAAGATAATTATTTGAACTTAGTTTCTAGCGCAGTGAATCGGATTTTATGTTTTCCTTTCACGGTATATCAGTAGGATCTAAGTATAACTAATTTAGATCTAATCCAGTATGAAGCAATGTATTATTTTCACAAGTGTGTGAAAGCAATAGTTTGCTACTGTGGGCCACACACATGTGATCTCTTACTTCTCCATCCATTACAACTTCAACCTTTTTGAGATCTTGCTGTTACTTTTAAAGCAAGGTATGGAGTCAGAATTATTCTAAACACAATTTGATGATGCAGTAAATAATACTGCACTGTACGTATATATACAGTATACCCAAACAACAAAATTCACTTAACACCCAAAGACTAGGTCCAACACACATAACAATCCCCAAACATCCACCACAAATTCCCCACCCCTAAACCACTCAAACATCCACACAACAGACCAAGTAATGCTGTCCAACAGCTCACTGATGGTGATCCTTTGGTTCATTGTTGAGTGCAATTATAGCTCTGGGATAAAAACTATTCAGAAAACGTGTGGTCCAAGTTTTAATTGTTCTGTATCTTGTGCCGGAAGGCAACAGTCCAAAAAGATTGTAAGCAGGATGGGAAGAGTTTCTGAAAATGTTATGCAACTTCCTCAAACAGTGAGATTCAAAGATGTCGTCCAGGGCTGCAATAATTGCCCTGTGACAAGATTAGACTAAGCTGTTCATTCAAAGTACCTAGCAAACAAAGTTAGCTGGCAGCAAGTAGGGTTTTTATGCCATGCATCTTTTATTAAAAAAAAGAAAAGAATCTACCATACTTTATCAGAAACACTGCCCAGTTTAAATCATGTTTAGAAAAAAAAAGAGCTCTAGAGAAGAGAAGTCAGATCTTGAAGTTTCCTTTGAATGGACACAGTCTTCTGCATTAGAGAGAGAGGTATGTACTATCTAAATTATAGTAATTTAAATAAGACAACAAATATAACACAGTATAATCTCAGACCTGAAGTCATGATATACGATTTTCCTTTCTTCTCTCAGGCAAGCCCTCAGGACTGCCATCTCCAGCCTCTGGAACAAATTTTAAGACTGGACAGGAAGTTACCAAGTAGAGGGGGAATCCATTTTTTGGTGAGAAGAATTAACCCACAAAAATGTGAAGAAGGTATACAAATCTCCCCACCTACCCTTTTTATCATTGTGTTCTATTTCCTCTTTTGTAGTGCCTTTGCTTTTGACTTGATGCTTATCTGACCCCTTTTGTAAACCAGGATATTTTTAAGAACTTCTAAAAATGTCAAATTGTTTGCCAGGTACACTTGTAAATTGCTGTCTTCTGATTGGTAAGGTGTCTCTGAAATACTTGACATTTCTTTCTGCCCTTGTGAAAATGAATGCAACTGATTGTGAAAACAAACAGAGGGATCTTAAGGCTGCGATCTTAAACCCACTAAACTGGAAAAAAAGCCTCTTCACCCACCTCAATTAAATATCCCTGACTCTAGATTGAATATCAACAGATATCTAAGTATTCTTGGACTGAAAGAGAATTAGATCTAAAGACCTATAGGCTCCTTTGAATTAAATCCTGGTGACATCAAGGATATCTATCTTATTTTCTTTCCCACCAAATAGAAATGGTTTCTATTATCTTCTTCCAGGACCTCCAAATCTAGCCTAGAGCCCTAATATTCTAATTGTTTTCATCCAAGTACTAACCAGGCCTGATCCTACTTCTCCCAAGTCCAGACCAGATTGATCTACTGAAACCACCAACTGAGATCTAATCTCAATAGAAACCTCTGTTGGTGTAGGTTGGTTGAAATTGTTTTACATATTCTTACAAGCATGATTGTTACTGAGATGTGTCCCAAACTTTATTTTCCTGACACAGGAAACTATGTGCAAAGCATGCAAGTGCTGTTTCACACCATATTTTCTCATTTGTATGGCGTGGCCAACTTGGCATGGCCAATTCACCATGGCCAACTCGGCGCAGTCAACTTGCTGTGGCTAGCTCATTGTGGGACAATTTGTCATGGCCAAATCACTGCAGGACAAGACAAGAGACTAATATTGAAGTAATGGTGGAAAAAAATCATTAAAGGATGCAAAAGGAGTGACAAGATAAAATATGAATGACAAAAATTAATTTTTAAATTATTTTAAGTATTTAAATTGAATTGTTGAATTGTCCTACAGTGAGTTGTCCTGTGGTGAGTTGGTCTTGGTGAGTTGGCCATGCTGACTTGACTGTAGTGAGTTAGTCATGGCGAGTTGGCTGCGGTGAGTTGGCCACACCAAGTTGTCCCATTCTGTCTCTGCAACCTGCACAACCACTTCCCTAAAACATTACAGTTTCCCCAACTTTGAAGTTGGTTTGTCTTGAAGTTCTTAGTTTTATCAACTCCCACATTGACTTTTCTCTCTAATCATAATTAAATAAAGGCTTGAGCATTTTTGTCAGTGTCAAAATGGAGCATATAAATATTTTTTTAGGAATATGGGTATAAAATTAATTCTAGAGCTACCAGTATTCAGTTTAATCTTGCAAAACCAACCTGCTTTTTTAACTGCCTTTGCTCTTTCAACTATTTTCAACTACAGGTAGTCCTTGACTTATGGTCACAATTGAGCCCAAAATGTATGCTGCTAAGTGAGAAAGTTGTTAAGTGAATTTTGCCCCATTTTACAATCTTTCTTGCCACA